AATATTTTATATTTTTGGTAGTTATTGTAAATGGTATTGATTTCCTTATTTCTTTTTCAGCAATCTCTTTGCTGGTGTAGAGGAATCCAACTAATTTTTGGATATTGATCTTGTATCCTGCCATGATGCTAAATCTTTCAATTAGTTCCAGTAGATTTTTGACTGAGTCTCTTGGGTTTTCTAGGTAGAGGATCATATCATCAGCAATAGGGGTAGTTTGACTTCTTTCTTATCAATTTGGATGCCTTTGATTTCCCTTTCTTGCCTTATGGCCCTATACTTGGGAATTCTTTTTTTTTTTTTCAGGGGAAGGAAAATACGTTTATTTTACATAACTGACTGGAAAATACATTCAAGAAACAGTAAATAAAATTTAATATGGTCTGCTATACTTGGGAATTCTTAATAGAACATACCAATACACTTGTAGAAACATTGTTTGTCAACCCTATACATGGTCTTGGGTACACTTCTTACTTCATAGACATACCTAATAGTTCAGCCTGTCCACCTATCTATCCCCCGGTATATCCATATTTGCCTTCACTGACAATGCAGTACTATATGTGCAAAAGGGTTCATCTTTGTTGTCTGTACTTCCTGTGCATCTTTCTATATCTTCCTCTTCCTCAGTGCCACTGTGTTGATCCATGAATGAGCTTTTAAGAGCTTATTTCCCTATTTGATGAAGTACACTTCTGATTCATGGACTAGTTAGGCTTATCTGTGAAAGGTTTAGTTAGGATTAATGTGCTGTTTAGGACTGGAGAAATGGCTTGGAATTTTCATGTCTTGATTTTTCTTACTGTTCAATGTTTTAGTGATTTTCTGGCTCGATTGGTGCTTCTCCAGCCAATACCCAGGGAGGTGCTTTGCTACAGGAACTTTATTGGCATATTGCTTCCAAATACAAATGAAAGATGGATCCTAAAACTGTTGTCTAGCTGTTTAACTTGGAATTTCTTCCATTGAAACTATAAAAACAGTAGGTCTGAGTTTGAACATTTTATTAAGGAAAATATTTGACTGGAAGCTATTAAGTATGTACTTTAATATTTAGAATCCTTATTTTTGTTTCTGAGATGAGCTGGTGAGCATTTTGCTTTCTCTCTTTCTAGGTTTCTCAGTTTGGGTGCAGGTCGTTTGCCTTGCTTTTTGATGATATCGACCATAATATGTGTGCAGCAGACAAAGAGGTATTCAGTTCTTTTGCTCATGCCCAGGTCTCCATCACAAATGAAATTTATCAATACCTTGGAGAGCCAGAAACTTTCCTCTTCTGTCCGACAGGTATAGTATATAATAGCTATATCTTTACCTTGTTGTTATTAGTTGCCGTTGAGTTGTTCTGGCTTGTGGCGATCCCCGTGTGCAGAGTAGAACTGTACTGCAAAGAATCTCAAGGCTGTGACCTTTTGGAAGTAAATCTCCAGGCCTTCCTTCCGAGGCACCCGTGGATGGGTGTGAACTGGGGCTTTGAACGATTCATTCCAGTTCAACCCCTTGCTGAGAATTTGCATTTCTGCCCTATTGATAGAATATCCAAATCTCCGTTTTAACAAGATCCCCAGTTATACATGAGAACCATCTGGGGATCTGTAAGAGTCACCTGGAGATCTTGTTCAAATGTAGGTTCCGATTCGGTGTATGTGGGGTGGAATGAAATTCTCAGTGAGGGAGTTGAACCAGAGTGAACTGGTTTGAAGCCCTGGTTTGAACTGCTAACCTTGTGGTTAGTAGTCCAGTGCTTAACCATTTGTGCCACCTAGGGACTCTTAAATTTAACTTGTCTTCTTGAAATAAATAAGTTTGAAAAGAACATGTGTAGATTCTGTTGTGCTCTCCCACTCCCTTCATCCACACCTCCCACTCCTCATCCCTACAGTGTATAAAACGATAGGAATAATTTTTCTAGAAGGTATTTCTCAAGATTGTAAGTTGGAGTAATAAATAACAACTGATAATCAAGGAGTCCCCGGGTCATGTGAACAGTTAATATGCTAACCAGATCTGTCCTGGAAGAAGTGCAGCCAGAGTGCTTCTTAGAAGTGAGAATGGCCAGACTTTATCTCACCTACTTTGGTCACATTGTCAGAAGGGACCGTTCCATGGAGAAGGATATCATGTTTGGTAGAGGGACAATGAAGAATGGGAAAACCCTCAACAAGATGGATTGACACGGTGGCTGTAATGATGGGCTCAGGCCTAGCAAGGATTGTGAGAATGGCACAGGACCGAGCAGTATTTCATTCTGTTGCACAGAGCATAACTACAAGTTGGAGCCAACTTGACGGCACTCCACAACAACAACCAGAAGGACAGAGGCTCGAGTACACCCAGAGGCATCTCAGAAGAAAGTCCTGGTGATCTTCTGAGAAATCAACCATTGAGAACCCTAAGTGGCACAGTTCTACTCTTGACATACACAGGGTCACCATGAGTTGGGATTGACTTAATGGCAACTGGTTTACTCATTGGAATAAGCAGAAAATAAAAGATTTGGTTTCTGTCGTTGGTACGATATGACTATTGAATCGAAAACTAGAAAAAAAAAAAATGGCATTGCTTTTAATGTAGTCACTTCTCATTTCCTTCTACTTGGTCCCTTTCTGCCCCCACATGTTTGTATCCTTTCTTCACTCCTCCCACTCCCATCTTTGCTCTTATTTCCAGTAGTCAGCATAGAAAGCTTCAGTTTTCTCTTTTTTCCTTCCTTGGATCTTCCATTTAAAATGCCTTTCCCTGGACTTCTTATTCAGGGAGAGAAAAATAAATTAGTTCTAAGAAATTTTGGACTGGATTATTTAACTTTGTGTGTATATGTCTGTTTGAATTAGAGTATTGTGAGCCATAAAACTTACCGCAGTAACCTAATACTGTGTGAATACTCAAATGTTTAATAAAGTCATACTGAGAATTACTTAATTCAATCCAAGTTATAATTTAAGTTATAATTGAATGCTAATAGCCATGGGCATAATCTTGTATTTAGTTTATTATGATATTATCAGTTCCTTCTCTTTGGCCTCAGATTATAACTGAGAAATGTAGGCAATTTAGAATTATGTAGAAACTGCTAAATTTCTGATTGTTTCTTTAGTAAACGTATATTTCTAGGGACTATTTCTAGTCATCACCTGTACTATTAAACTACTGTTTGAGGAAGAGTATCAGGTTTTATTAATTGATTCTTCCCCATTGAGTTTACTTTCTTATAGGCATGACATTAGGGACTTCATCATTTGAATGATTAGTATTTAGAATTGGTAGACATTTTTCCCCCATTAAAAAACCCCTGACCATTTCTTTCCTGACTATTTTACTTTTTTCCCCTATATTCAGAATATTGTGGCACTTTCTGTTATCCAAATGTCTCTCAGTCTCCTTATTTAAGGACTGTGGGTGAAAAGCTTCTCCCTGGAATTGAGGTGCTTTGGACAGGTAAGCTTTTAACTTAAGATTTATATGGTAAAACTTTGATTAACCAGAACCTAGAGAAAGTAATTATTCTGGTTAATTGAAAAAAAAAATTTTTTAAGCCTTAACCAGAAAATTTTATCTTCATTGCTAAAATAACTCTTTTTTAAAAAGTATACATTCAATACTTAGTACAAGAAATTATAAAGCACATCTTTGAAGATTTCGCCGTGAATCTAAATCTGTTTCTGAATAATTAATATCAACCTGTAGAGAATTGGGCTAAAAGATACTGATCCTAGCCTTAGGAGGCTGTTCTGTTTTTAGACTGAAAAGCTAGTATGTTAGATTGACAGCTACTAATCAACTAGTTGTATTAGCTTTTATTTCTAAGAATAAAGACAGAAAGCCCCCCCCCAGAGTGTAAGTTAATTGGGGTTTGTCTAATTGAAGATTTACTGTAATAATGGACATAAAGAGTTTGTGAAAAATTCTTATTAGTCTGTTATATCAATATAAGGATGCTTGCCCAAGCCTTAAATACTTTTGACTACTTAGTCCATTTTTAGAATCTAATTCTGCTCTGGAAGTCTTCTGAGGAAATACTGGGGGAGATAAAACAAACCTTTAGAGTGAAAAGATGCTTTATTGCTGTTTCTTTAATAGGAAAGATCATTGTGAATTTTATTTATAACATGAAAAAAATACAGCAAAATAAAAGATTGTATGTGGAGTATATTTTACAGACTTATGTGTGAGGTTCTTTTAACAAGTAGAGGTCATTATTTCTAGGTCCCAAAGTTGTTTCTAAAGAAATTCCAGTAGAATCTATTGAAGAGGTCTCTAAGATTATTAAGAGAGCTCCGGTAATCTGGGATAACATTCATGCTAATGATTATGATCAGAAGAGACTGTTTCTGGGCCCATACAAAGGAAGATCCACAGAACTCATCCCACGGTTGAAAGGAGTCCTGACGAACCCAAATTGTGAATTTGAAGCCAACTATGTTGCTATCCATACCCTTGCTACCTGGTATAAATCAAACATGAATGGAGTGAGAAAAGATGTAATAATGAGTAAGTAGACTCTGCTTGACCCTTGACTTTGTGAGGAGAGCTGGGGTTATCTAGAGCCGTTGACAAGTGTGTGTGTATTCTTTTCTCATCATAATTTAAGAGGTTTTATTAACGTATATTGTTTTGTCCTACTAATGAAGTATGCATATGATAGAAGAAAGACTTCAAGACAAGAAATTCTGAATGGCCTTGGATAAGTCCTTTAGTGACGTCTTGGTCTCAGTTCTTCATTTTTAAAATAGGCCTCAGCCTTTGAAGTCTTTGTAATCTTTTCAGTTCCTATTATCCCTGATTCCATTTGTGTTTCCAAGTAATTTATTAAACAGATATTTGGGGGGGGGGGCAGTGTTCCTTCCCTTCCCCTCCCACCCTTGGTAACCAAAAAAGAAAGTTTCCTTCCATATATGACCCTTTCCTTGACTTTTTATAATGATGGACTAATAACCATATTTGTCCTTTTGTGATTGACTTATTTCACTCAGCATAATGTCCTCCAAGTTCATCCATGTTATGCGGTGTTTTTGCAGATTCTACATTATTCTTTAGTGTTGCATACATAGTATTTAAATGGGAGCTCTGATGGTATAGTGCCTAAGGCATTTGACTGCTAACCAGAAGGCTTGGCAGTTCAAATCCACCAGCCACCTCTCAGAAGGAAGACTGGGCAGTTTACTTCTGTAGAGATACCCCCTCGGAAACCCAAGGGAGGGGTTGCTGTGAGTTGAATCGACTGGACAGCAGTGAGTTTGGTTTTTGGGTTGGTTAGGATTTAAATGGAGTATTTTGGATGATTAGATAGTGTCTGAGTTACTTCATATATTGTTTTGATTTTGCTTATGTTTTTGGAACATTTTCATTTTAGACATTGTTTTACTGATTTATTTATGAAAAATGCCTAATAGAGTTCTAAGTAAGAGAATACTGACTAATTTTTTTCATTAATATTTTTTTATTGTAGTAAAAATATATATGATAAAACATTTGCCAATTCACCAGGTTTTTTTTTTTTAATTTTTATTGTGATTTGGGTGAAAGTTTACAGAGAAAATTCATTTTCTATACAGCAGTCCATACACATTTTGTTTCATCAAGTTTTGCCACCATTGTCATTATTCTCAAAATTATTAACACTTTTATTGTGGTAAATATATTAATAACAACATATGTGTGGGCTCTTTCAGTTTTCTCCTCCCCTGAGGCATATTTACTATTTTCATTGTTATTTTCATATTAAGTTCTAAGCCCCTGAAAGGTATTGTATTACAAATAATTTGTGCTCAATGGACTTTCATGAATGTTATTGGAATGCTTCTAAAATCTTATTTTTACGTTTAATTACATTTTAATTGTACTTTTAGTTAGCGGTATGTTTAGGTGACTGTTCTAGGTGAAATGATTTGGTGAAGAGTGTTGTTCATGTTTGCATTTTTATGTTCAAGAGTTGTTCCAGTTATTTGCTTCTGTAGTACTGTTACAACTAGTGTTTTACAGGAGACTTTTGTTATCAAAACTGTTTTTACACTGTTTCTTTTCTTTTGCAGCTGACAGTGAAGATAGTACTGTATCAATCCAGATAAAGTTAGAAAATGAAGGCAGTGATGAAGATATTGAAACTGATGTACTCTATAGTCCACAGATGGCTCTAAAGCTTGCTTTAACAGAATGGTTGCAGGAGTTTGGCGTACCTCATCAGTATAGCAGTGAGTTTGGCCATGCTTTTTACGGAGATTGGATCATATGGTTATGTCACAAAGGGAAGAACACTATCATGTGCCTTACTTTATGCTTAACGTACAGAGTGAACTTAGATGAGATTTAGGGATTTAGAGAAAAGTTTTTAAAAAATCTTACTTTTGGTTTTAAATAACTTTTATCTTGATGGAATGCTAATTTGTCTAAAAAATATTTTATTGAAATAGTTATTTCACTGTTTTTAAATGCAGATTTTTAATAGTAGATACTGGCATATAGGGATGTTTTATTACTTCTACACTCCCCAGCACCCACTGATTTAGAGAAATTACACTATTTCAAAGGGCTCAGATTATTTGAGATTCTAGTTCCAAGTATGATACAGAAGCATTTTTCTAAGTCTGATTTGTTCTGTTGCTAATTCCTGATTATCTTTATGGTGATATTTTTTTCCTGTAGGTAGACAAGTTGCGCACAGTGGAGCTAAAGCAAGTGTAGTTGATGGGGCCCCTCTTGTTGCAGCACCTTCTTTAAATGCCACGACTGTTGTTACAACAGTTTACCAGGAGCCCATTATGAGCCAGGGAGGAACCTTGAGTGGTGAATCTGCAGCTCTGACCAAGGAAGAAGAAAAGAAACAGCCAGATGAGGAACCCATGGACATGGTAGTAGAAAAACAAGAGGAAATAGACCACAAGAATGACAATCAGATCCTAACGGAAATTGTTGAAGCTAAGATGGCAGAGGAGTTGAAACCAATGGACACTGATAAAGAGAGCATGGCTGAGTCCAAGTCCCCCGAGATGTCCATGCAGGAAGACTGCATCAGTGACGTTGCGCCTATGCAGACTGATGAACAGACGAACAAGGAGCAGTTTGTGCCAGGTCCAAATGAAAAGCCCTTGTATGCTGCAGAGCCAGTGACTCTAGAGGATTTGCAGTTACTGGCTGATCTGTTCTACCTTCCTTACGAGCATGGGCCCAAAGGAGCACAGATGTTACGGGAGTTTCAGTGGCTTCGAGCAAATAGCAGCGTTGTCAGTGTCAATTGCAAAGGAAAGGACTCTGAAAAAGTGAGTGTGCTTTGTTTACCCTCTTTTCTAGTTGGCATGATCCCCATGTTGGGGACATGGAGGGAAGACTTAAATGAGTACAGTAGTACCTGGCACAAAATTGATTGCATTTTAGAGTATGTCTGTAAAGTAGGTGTTCATTTTGCTCACTCTGGTATGTTAAATTCTGTTGTTTGACTTTTGAGTGAGGAAAGAAGGAAAATCAAAAGTTGGTTAAAAGAATAATTTGTCAGTTTGAGAAGACAAACTTCCATTATCTAAAGAGTTTGAGCCAGTGATTCTTCAATGTTTAAGATGAATGGCAGATACCTGGTAGCAAACATCTTACTTTATGACCTTGTGTATATAGATTATTTTTATAGATTTTTTGTTTGTTTGTTTTTAATTAAACTTGCCAGTTTTTGAGTCTTTTCATTGATCCTCAATAGATTGAAGAATGGCGGTCACGAGCAGCCAAGTTTGAAGAGATGTGTGGACTCGTGATGGGAATGTTCACACGGCTCTCCAATTGTGCCAACAGGACAATCCTTTATGACATGTACTCCTATGTTTGGGATATCAAGAGTATAATGTCTATGGTGAAGTCTTTTGTCCAGTGGTTAGGTAGGTGCACCAGGAATAATCTCTTCTCCTCAATATATTGTCTCTTAAAAAAAAAAAAAAGACATTATCCCACAGGGAGAAAAACATTTTAGGGAATTGGCATGTTCCAACTCATAAATTCTTTGCCTAGATTTCTTTCAAAGGTAGGCATTGTTGCAGACTTGAGATGGAAATCTCAGTAATTATAGTAAACAGATTAATTTTTCTCCCTTGGGCTAATTCAATATAAATACCATGAAAATGTGTTAGAAGGTACTGACTTTAACTTGCTCTGACTGAATGCTTCCTGGATGGGACCCTGCTTACTAGTTTGACCTGATTTGGAGATGAGACACTATGAAATGTGACTCTGTAAGCTCTCTGCTGCTTGCTGTGTCTTCATAACATTAATGCTGTGTTTGACAGAACAATTGCTGAAATGACCTAAGGGGCCTGGCAAGAGGAAGCCATCCTCCCAGCCCTGTGCGCATGCGAGTTTTAGTGGAAGGCTATTCTGGTGCTAGTTGGTGTTATTTCACATGGCTTTCTCTTTATCCTTCTACCAAGTAATTGATTTAGCAGGGGATGGAAATTGCAATCCCTTAAAAACTCTGCAACATTAAATGGACTTCTGTATGTGTCCTTTGAAAACTGCTTATTGGAAATTCTCAAACTTGGTAAAAGCACCAGCATGGCCAAGTTTCTCCAGGGACTTGACTTCATTTCCAGGTTTTTAGTCCAGCTATAAGGAGTATGTCATGGACTTGCACACAGCACACAGCAGGCAGCAAGGCTGGCTGATGATGTCATAGTTTCATAGTGGTCACAAATGCTGTGATGGGCACATGATCTTCGTTGTGAACTGGGCATCTGAAACAGCGAGTTTAGGTGAAGCACTGGTAATGAGATGTCTCCCTAATCACCTTTCACAAAACTGCATAGGGTTTTCAAAGCTGTGACCTTTCAGAAGCAGGTCTCTAGACCTTTCTTCCAAGGTGCTTCTGAGTGGGTTCAAACCACCAACTTTCCAGTTAGTAGTCAAGTCTTAGGCATATGTGCCACCCAGGGAATTTTTTAGGCTTCTGGCCAGGGTAGGTGTAAATACAATCATTACAGGGATGTAAATCTCAAATTTCTGAGGGCTCTAGGAATTTTGAACCTGTAATCTGGATCATTGAGCTTTAATAAAGTATACACCCGCTGCCATTGAGTCAATTCCAACTCATAGTGACTCTGTAGGACAGAGGAGAACTGCCCTATAGGGTTTCTGAGGCTGTAATCTTTACAGAAGCAGACTGCCTCATTTCTCCCACCGAGCAGCTGGTGGATTCAAAACTACCAACCTTTAGGTTGGCAGCCGAGTGCTTTAACCACTGTACTACTAGTGCTCCTTAAGTATTGAAAAAAGCTCACTACCATCGAGTCGCTTCCAACCCATAGCAACCCCTTTTGGGTTTCCAAAGCTGTAAATCTTTATGGAAGCAGATTGCCTTCTCTTCCGTGGGATGGCTGGTGGGTGATAGTCTGTAACCTAAAAATCTGCTACTCAACTTTTTAATTAAGACTTATACAATTCTTGGTTATGTATAGCAATATTTCTGTTGCCTCTCAGGTTTTATTGCTGTTTTATGCAATTATAAGAATAATTTCCAAAATTGTACAAATAACTTGTGTAGTCTCAAGCTCAGAGCATCTTAGACGTTTTAAATAGTCCTCTTGGTATCTACATTCCGTTATAAAAGTTCATGATAAGGGAGAGTGTTTTCATAGTTCTCTAGTAATTTCAGGGGATCACTGATTAGAGGTCTTTGTTTCCTTCCTCTCTCCAGTCCAGTTGGCATTCAGTCCTTTAAAGAATGTGGCTGTGCAGTACTTTTGATTACTAATGACCTCTATTATCTTCTTCCCCATTGTGTGCAGATGGGAGAATCCTCAGCACAAGTGTCTACTGCTAATGGATGGACAGCGGCAGATGTGCACAGCGCGTCATGATTAATTAGTTTAAGTTGAAAGGTTATATCTGTGAGGTAGCTCAGGTAGATTGAAGGGCAGCAGGCATGAACTGAAGTCACGTTTGCGCAGCGACTGAGGCATTAACCATGTTTTCATTTACACAGCTCTCCGTATATGCAGCTTTTTATTGTAATAGTTGAAAGTGCTAGTTATGTTGTGGTCTCAAAGTAGGGGGAGGGGAAATTGGCTGATATTAAAGTTTAAGAGGTACAGTCCCCCTGCACACATACAGTGTAAATTACACTGAGTTATGGAATGGGCCAGGTACTCTTCGTAACCTAAATTTTGACCCTAATACTTATTTCACAAATACTACATGATACATTGTTTTTTTTTTTTTTTTTTTAAAAATACTGCTACTCCTAAAAAGTGACACACCCAGATATAATCTCTTAATGTCAACAAAAATTCGTTGCTTTGGGACTGTCTGACTAGCACACTATATCTTGTACTGATGAGACTGTTAACTTGAACAGGAGGTAGAATGCTGTCTTCAAATGGAAAAGAACTATTTTGCGCTGCTTTATCTTGTCAGAAGACTAGGCAGGTGATTCTGATTTGGTCTCCAGATATTTGTCTTATCTCTTACTGTTAACTACTCTTATTGCCCATGAAGTTGGTTAAATGGTGACCTTATTGCTGACTTCTGGGCCTTAGAGCTATCTCATGCATGTATTCAATGCATTATGAAGATTATAATGGTTGATCAGAGGAGCCAGGTACTGTCATACTTCTAACAAAAGAATGTTAAAAGGAGCATCAATTGACTTTATCTAGCTCTCAGAATCTAACAGATTATGGTATTATAATTAGTTGACTCTGAATTTGGATGGTCCTCATGAGGAAAAAAAAAATTCATTGTATTTGGTTCAGTTTATTGAACAATTTAATTACTCTGCTGACCTTAGTTTTCTGACAAGATTCTCCCTTTTCTCCTTGTCCTGTACCCTCCCTCAAAATATAAAATGTGACTTCAGACAGATTTAATTCCTTCATGGGCTGTGATAATAAAATCTGTCTCATTATCTCATTTATTTTGGCCTATAGTTACTGTGATTACATTAAAGAGCAAGGAACTGGCTTGATATTTATTGCTGTATCAAGGGACTGTATAAACTTTCAGTCAAACCCAGGAGTTCCTTCCTATATCTGTTATCAGTAGAACTGAGAACAGTGATTATTCATTAACCAAAGGAAGGAATGTCAGTATTGGAACTCTTATTACTTATTTTTAAAAAGAATTATTATCACAGCTTTGCCCTGAAACCCTGGATTATTATTGTTAGAGAGTTATTTCCACAAAGTGTTTGTTAGTTTGTTGGACGTTTGAGACCCCAGGAAATCCCCTTTCTCGTAACATTCTCCGCTTGGATCTGATCTCAACAGGGTGTCGTAGTCATTCTTCAGCACAGTTCTTAATTGGAGACCAAGAACCCTGGGCCTTTAGAGGTGGTCTAGCAGGAGAGTTCCAGGTATCAATATGAATTCACAACTGAATTGACATTTTCTTTGTTTTATGAGAAACCTTATGTTGCGCATCAGATGGCTGGAAGGATTGGTCTGCCGAAGGCTTTCTGGTCCCAAATTCAATTTAGTTACATAGCTGGATTTTAAATCAAATTTTCCTCCTCTTTCACAGTAATTTCTGAAGGAGATGCTGCCAATTCCCCCGCGCCCGCGAAGCGCAGCGGCTCTAGGTATACACTTCACATTGTTTCTTTGCAGGTCGCACAGCATTTAAATCTGCGCCCGCAATGCACAATGCGCGCATGCTTGTCTACCAGTGGAAATTCCATGAGCAAAATAGTTGAATAATTATGCAAGTCAATGGTGAAGGGGCTTTAGATACTTTTTTCATTTACTTTATAAATGTAGCTTGTACTTGAAAGAACAGTTCAATAATGAAAATTTGAACAACATATGAAGCTTCGTTGGTACTGGAATTTGTTCATGGACTTTTCAGGTGCTCTCCTTTTCTCCCCCCAACAGGTGCTCTGCTGCGCGCAGCAAACTGAAGCGCATTGCTTTGGGGATAAAGCGTCTCCTGGACAGATAACCCTCTTCAGACCAAACCTCTCCTCCTGACAGTCTGTTCTGCCATCTTTTAGTAGAAAGATGGTCTTTATAAGATTGGTTTTAAAAAACAGATTTATCATAATTGGATTAGATGTTTTGTTTTGTTTTTGTTTTTGCTTTTGTTTTTTACTGTAAATTTAAATCCCCATTTATATGCCACTGAAAGCTATGTAACTCAGTTTGGATAATTTCTATTCAGAAGCACTCCCCCAGCCAAGAGGTGTTTTTGTTAGTAAAGCATAGTGCACCCCTCTTCTTTAGGTCTGCCTGCAGTAGCCAGTTAATGTTAAGTTGGTAATCTGCAGTGCACACCCATTTAAAAAAATGAGTGTCTTCTTAACGCTAATGTATCTCCTTTTTTTTTTTTCCTTTCCACAGCGTTTGCTGCCAATTGATGGAGCAAATGACCTCTTTTTTCAGCCACCCCCACTGACTCCTACCTCCAAAGTTTATACCATCAGACCGTACTTTCCCAAAGATGAGGTAATTGTCTACCTACAGAATTGGTGTATGGCTGTGGTACATAATTACTGCTTTCCTGTGAACTCAGTGGTTAAGGTTCTGTATCTTAATGTGAAATATAGATGAAGAGAGTTAAATACTGACCACAGGAGGGAGAGCAGGTACAGAGGGATTTCGGAAAGAACCTGAGGAGTTTAGACTCCTGGCACCTTATGAAAATACTTCAAAACCTCCCCTAACCAAATGTACAGAACTGTTGAATGTGAAACAAATCGGGCTCTGTAAATTTGCACCCAAAGCACAATACTAAGTAAATAAATAAATAAAACCTCCCCTAAAAAGTCAAATGAATTCTGTTCAGGGTTGGAATTATTAAAGAGTCAAGATATCTAAATGTGTTGTCCTTAGAAAGTTGATGTTTTTCAATATATATTTATTTCTGTGATTTTTGAGTGTGAAGTGCCTATAGGCTATTGACTCAGCTGAAGAAAGAAGCAAGCCTATTTAAAGGAAGGACAGGTTTAAAATAGAAGTATTGTTGATATAGAGAAAACTGACACCCAGTCTCAGAGTGTGCTGGAGTTTGCATCTATTACTTAACTACCAAAACGGTCTCCTGCAAGGCGTTTCTTAGTGTTTTCTAAAACCATGCTGTCTTCCCACTGGCTTTAGTCTGACTCAATGAATAAATATTTAACATAGGCAAGCTGATATCTCTAACGGGCCAGGTCTTTTTTGTTCTTTCTCTTGTAGAGATCTGGACAGACTTAGGAGTCATGCTGCTATTAGATTTTTGCCACCAGTTTTCTTGATGTGTTGCTTAACTAGATTGTATTTTCAGGCTTCTGTGTACAAGATTTGCAGAGAAATGTATGATGACGGAGTGGGTTTACCTTTTCAAAGTCAGCCTGACCTTATTGGAGACAAGTATGTGATGAGTCTTTGGGTTTGGGAGTAAACATTTGATAGCCAAGTCTATTATAGCTTTTGAGGGGAGGTAATGAGTGAAAACAAGGAATTTGAAATTCCCATGTTAGCTTTAGTAAAACCTAAATGTTAGTTAATATGTATACATGTTCAGTTTTTTTCTGACACCAAATGTAATTTCTATAAGTAGTCATTCGAGTGCATTAAGGTCTTGGTGTATCTAGCAGTGAAGTCCGAGTTTTTATGTTGTAACGTAAAAACTCACTCTGGACTCTACTCTTTCTTTCTGAGCAGGTTAGTAGGAGGGCTGCTTTCTCTCAGCTTGGATTACTGCTTTGTCCTAGAAGATGAAGATGGCATATGTGGCTATGCCCTGGGCACTGTAGACGTGACCCCCTTCATTAAGAAATGTAAAATCTCTTGGATTCCCTTCATGCAGGAGAAGTATACCAAACCAAATGGTGACAAAGAACTCTCTGAGGCTGAGGTAACGCACAGGTTTGGAATTATGGGAATGTTTTTTCCATAAAGTATTTCCTAAACTAGAAAGGTAGGCAGACGCATTATAAAATCTCAGTGCTTTCTGAATTAATTTCTGAACAAAAAGAATTCTTAGGACTTACAAAGACTTTTTTTTTTTTTTTTCTTTTTTATTGTGGTGAAATGTATTTGCTATTTCCCATTTCACCCATTTTTATGTGTACAGTTCAGTGACACTAATTACATTGACCATGTGGGGCAGTGCTCACTGTTTAGGACTTACTTTTAGCATGACATTTTTCACTGTTTTCTCTGCTAGAACATTTTTTTATTTGAGAGTATTTTAATAGTTCCTCAATATATAGATAGTGGTGTCTGCATTGAGAACTCATGGTACAACTAGGTGATTAAAATACCTCTCTTGGTGGTTTGATAGCCTAGCTTGCTTGCCTTGTATTTTAGTGTAATTAAAAAATAAAAGAGGTGAGCTTCTTAAAGAGTTTGCTGTTAGGAAACAGTCCTGCCCCGTCCAGTTAAAGGCTCCTAGGTAGCACAGTGGTTAAAGCACTCACCTACTAACCAGAAAGTTAGTGGCTCAAACCCACCAGCTGCTCCACAAGGAGAAAGAAGTGGCAGTCTGCTTCTGTAAAGATTTATAGCCTTGAAAACTCTATAGGGAGTTCTACTCTGTCCTGTGGGTCACTATGAGTCAGAAGTAACGTGGCAACAGTAGGTGTTGAGTGTGGTCCCCATTAGCTGATTTTTTTCTCCTAAAAGAAATGTACTGGAGTTGGTTCACCCCTAGAGCTTGGGGAGGAATTGTGGCCCTGCCAGCAACTGGACTTCTAGTTTCTGTCTTCTAGAACTGGGGAATAATGCATTTCTTGGTTTTAAACAAACAGACAAAATGTGTGCTGTGCTGCATGTTGTTCAGTTTATAGTTATTTTGGTTTATATATGAGCTTTTCTTTTTTTTTTAATCCTTCTTAAAGGTAGCTTTTTTATGTTCAGTAAATACTTACAGATGTATATTTGGACTCTTATATGTTATGTTGCATTTTTTCCTTTCTTCCATGTTGCTTTCTTCTGCTTTTCTAAAATTCTTCACCCTTCTTCCCCATACTAAAGCACTCACATTCTCTCTAGTTTATTAGTGTTTACCTTCTGCTCCTAGCAGATGGCTAGGTAATAAGAGAGGATGGTTTGGAGTGACCTCCCTTATTTGGGATGACCTTGACACTGACACTTGATACTACAGCATGCTTGTGATTGAGCTTTTGATGTGCTGCTGTTCCTTCTCTGACAGTTGTAGTTTGTGGCACAGGAACGGATGAAGAATGACCAGCTTGTCTATTACCAATGCCTTTTTTTATTATTATTAAATTGTGATTTGGGTGAAAATTTACAGAGCAAATATACTTTTCATACAGCAGTTCACATACACTTTGTCTCATGACATTGACCACAATTTACTACAATGCAACATCTCCTCTCCTACTTCCTCCCGATAGTTACTTCTTCGCTGTGTCCATTCCTCCATGCACCCCTGCCCCCTGAGCTGTCTCCCTGTGCATAAGCAGCCCTTCTTTCTCCCATGCTTGTTCTCTCCAAGAAGTGTATCTACCTCAGGTAAATGTTCAACTCATATGCCTGTCTGTTATTTGGCTGGAAGCCACAGGCGTGGGTTCAATTCCAGACCTGAAGGGCAGCTAGGGGCCATAGTCTCAGTGGTTCCACCAGGCTCTATCAGACCAGCAAACCTGGTGTCCCCACCCCCCTTTTTTTTTCCCAAATGATTTTGAGTTTTGTTCCACATTGTTATCCCTCTTTATCCAGGATCTCCTACATAGTTCCTCTTCCAAGTGGTTGACAGTAGTAGCCAGGCACCATCTAGTTCTTCTGGTCTCATAGTCATACAGGCGGCAGAACAGATGGTGTACCAGTCGCTGGGACTAATTGTTTCCATGAATTTTTGGTTTTCTTCATTCTTCTTTGCTCTGGATGAGGAGAGACTCATCGTTGCATCTAGATGGCAGCTTGCAAGCTTTTAA